CCAAATTCTCCGAAGTATAAACACAAACTGGATAACTATCCTGTTGCATGGTTCCACTCCATGATTTCCTATTTCAAACATGCCAAAAGACCCTTTAGGTACATGTAACTGGTAGCAGAACTCTTTAGATTTCAGACAATGTACATTGTTGGAAGAACATACAATAAATTGGCAGAGGTGCACATGCTCATGGGGATTGGGTTCAATCACCATTTGTGGATTAGGATTAATCCCAATACAAGGAGACTGTCCTGGTCCTAAACCAGTGTCTGTAATCAGTAATGGACTGGATGGGCAAAAAAATAAAAAAATAAAATCTTAACCCAAAGAAGACAGAAGTGCTCCTGGATCAGTTGGAAGGCATATCAGGGAATAGGGATTCAGTCTGTGTTAGATGGGGAGTACATTCCCTTGAAGATGCAGATTTGTAATTTGGGTGTGCTCCTGGACTCAGTTTTGAACCCCAAGGCCCAGGTTTCTGCAATGGCCAGAAGTGCTTTTGCACATTTAAAGCTTGTGTGCCAACCGCATCTATTCCCTGAGATGCCTGCTGGCCACGGTGGTACATGCTTTAGCTACATCCCATTTGAGCTACAGTAAAACACCCTACTTGGGGTTGCCTTTGAAGAGTATTCAGAAACATCAACTGCTCCAAACAGCTGCAGCCAAACTGCTACTTGAGACAGGTAAGGAGTCCTCACAATACCGCTGTGACTCTAACAGGGGCAGGCAAACTCGACCCTCTTAGGGATTTTCAGCTCCCAGAAGCCTCAGCCATGTTGGCCAATAGTCTGGGATTCTGGGAGCTGAAGTCCCTCGGCCTTTAAAGGGGACAGTTTAAAGGGGACAGTTTGCCTGCCCCTGCGGATCATCAGAAGAGGCCCATCTCTCAATCCCACCACCACTATAAGCACCCTCCTTGTTGTCCTTCTGCTAGCAGGCTAAAACCTTTTTATTCAGATAGGCTTTTAAAACAAAGTTTTTAAAGAATGGTCTGCGATGCTGCACTGTTTTAATTGCACAGTTTTTATACATTTTTATCTTTTCTAATTGCATTTTATTATTTTAATGTGTGATGTGTTTTAATACTGCAATAGTTTACGGTAATTCTATTTAATTCTATTTAAATGTTCTCTTTTCTCTTTTTGTATGTTCTTTTAAATTGTGAGCCACTCTGAGTCCCAAATTTGGGGGGAAAAACAGGATATAAATGATTATTACTACTACTAGTACTAGTACTACTATTATTACTGAATATGGCAGAGGCATGACACAAGCAGAGGGCTTCCCAATCACACTGCAGCAAAACCTCAGGCCAGCTGGTGAATATCCCACAATGGCTGAACGCACTGTTGATTTTACCATAGCTCTAAGTTGAACAGAGTACCAAATAGGGTTCAGCACCCATGCTCCTGTTCACCTCAAGGTCACTGTGGGAGAAGGGATGGTAAAATGCAGATTAGCTACATCACTCCCCAAAGCTTTGATCCACCAATCATCCCTGAAAAGATCATGTAGTTATGTAAGATTTCATGAACCTCATTGATGAACTATGTGAATAATATGGCTAGTACTTTTCATTCCCCTGAGAGGGCTGTGTGTACTATTATCAGACACAAGCTGAAGGGGGCAGCAGCCATACTTATATAGACACACACTCTGCAGGAAAAAGGATGACACTAGTTTCTGAAAATGTACAATCAATTTTCTCACACAAGCAGTAATAGCACTGACTTACCACTGCCGTTTACAACAATATAGATGAAAAACTTTAAACATTTTAAACATTATTTCTAATAAAAACTTACTTTCCATAGCATCTTTGGCCTCAGACTGTAATTCAGTAGAGCTCGGGATCCCAAGAGAGGTCTCCGCTTTTTCAATGACATTTGAGAGTCCATAACCTGAAGAGTACAGACGATATTTGTTGGGGAAAAAACTATGCATTCTCTTTCCCCTCATTATATAAATAGGGATTCCTATTTAGGTCTACGTCTCTTTAAGACTTAACTGTCTTTTTCCGAACATTCTAAACTGTCAGTAACTGCAGTCAGCAGTCAGTTGTTGTGGTTTTCTCCTGCTATCTATAAGATAGTAAGATTTATCTCACCTTACCCAAACGATCACCAGTTAGGTTAGGTTTTAGTTGTTTTATGTAAATATTAAAGCCATTATTGTTTGTTTTTAAATCACAAACTACATGTTTGTCATTTTTTGAGTTAGCCTTTATTCGTTAGGAAAGGATATTAAAATATAGTCTAACCCAGGGGTTGACAACTTTTGTTGCTTGGGGGGGGGGGCTGGGCGGGCACATGCGCGTTTGCACGCACTTACCCCCGTGCGCGCATGCACACGATGCCTGCCACTATGCACAAGTGGGGGGCACCATTTTGGAAACCCCAGAGCACCTGCGCCGGGCAAATTTGCCTGGCGGACATGCGCTGACGCCTTGCCAGGATGCAGGAAAGACCCCTGAGCGCCTGGCGCATGCGCACTAACACCTTGCCAGAGCCCAGGGAAGGCCCCAGAGTGCCTGTGCCAGGAGAACTCGTAAGGCGCAGCCGCTGTGGAGCCTTCCAAAATGGCACTCACGTGCATGCGTATGCAAGCGCGGGTGCCATTTTGGACGCACGGGACGTCCTCACGCATGGGGTGGCAACGCATGCGGGGCATTGGCTGTCCACAGGCCACTCCCAAGGCCTCTGCGGGCCGCACCTGGCCCGCGGGCCAAAGGTTGTCGACCTCTGGTCTAACCCATGTTTTTTGCTGCTCTGCTGATGAAAGCTGAACTCTAACAAGTTTAACTTTCATACCTGCTTATTTTAGTTTATCTTTGGGCCTTTGTAGACTGCCAGAAATAGTGCACTTTAAATTGAGGCACTGCCCTGGCTCAGTGCTAGGAAATCATGAGGATTGTATTTTTTTTCTCAGACATTGAGCCTTCTCTGTCAGAGAGCTCTGGTGCCACAATAAATTACAGTTCCCATGATTCCCTAGCACTGAGCCAGGGCAGTGCCTCAATTTAAAGTGCACTATTTCTCGCAGTCTGCAAAGGCCTTTTAAAAGGGTTAACACCCTGGGAAACTAAAATTGCACCCCACAATATTACTTTAATCCCACATTTTTTAAAAAAAGAAGAAAGAATTACTTCACCAAGCAAACATATGCCAAGTCAATAAGACAGAACTGCTCAAGGCAGAATGCTACATTTGAAAAAGTACAAATAAACCTACAGTGCATTGCCTGGTTTAGATGTAAAGATTAACTGTTATATGTGTCTT